ATATATATATATATATATATATATATATATTGTTTATTGATAAAATTTATAACGTAAGCTTTCAAGATAATAATATAAAAACCATAATTCATCAATTAAATCAACAAAATTCTTTCATATTTCAAAAAGTTAATCATAGAAAAAAAACACCAATGTAATTTAATTTCTCATTAAGTTTTGGTATATAAAGTGGTCAAGTTCACCCAAAAGATAAATTTTAAACAAAGTTACCCCAATCCAAACATTCTGTACTAAACCAAAAATAGTTAAATTTAAACCTAAGTTCAGATATATTATAAAATATGATCAGAAAATATATAATCCAAAATTAATTATTTAAAGGAGAGGAGAAAAATATATAAACCAAGAATTTAATAATTTAAAGGAGTAGGAGGGGTTCAAACACTCGAGAACTATGACACATGGTTGAATAAAGGAGGGCAAGTGTCTAATATTAGAATCAATAAAGCCGAGTACAACATCAGCAAGTATATAAAAGTACAAAAACTCCATCCCCTCCACAAAAGATGCCACGCCAAAAAGCTAGAAAAGAGAGAAGAGCAGCTTAATGCTCCTAACAGTGCACTGGTTCGGGAAAACAGATTTATTCAGACTCATTTTTTTCACGAGCAAGACACTAAACATAATAAGGTACTATTTATGCAGACTTCTTGGCAACGTGAACAAGCAGGTCAATCACGCGGGAGCTGCAGAACCACGGAACACAGCAGGTATTAGATTTAGCCAAGTTAACAACTTATTGCAAATTGTTAAGTGACACACTACCACTATCATATACACAAGAAACGGTTTAAGGTGGATTACCTGTATCCCCACTCATTGTCGTACCACGACACAAGCTTCACAAAATTCTTACTCAATGCAATTCCAGCCTTTGCATCAAAAATGCTTGATCTGGAAGAATAATGTAGAAAAAAATGTAATAGATTATTCGAGAATCAATTCAAGTAAATGTTGACAACTGAAAAAGGGCATCATCACTGCCATCTACCATGTGTGTTAAATAACTTCTCAACTGTCAACATAATTTATACCTGCTATCACCCACAAAGTCGGTGGAGACCACATCATCTTCGGTGTAACCAAGAATTCCCTTCAACTTGCCCTCTGACTCCTCCCTAAGAAAGACAACATTATATAAGACTCTAATGCAGAAGGACCAATTCCAAAATGGAGGCACTTTCAAATAAATATTTTTAATTCACATACGATCTAATAATACAAATATTTTTCCCTTACTTGATAGCATTTTTAATATCTTCATATGAAGCTGCCTTCTACAACCTCAATGTGAGGTCAACAACAGAGACATCGACAGTAGGAACACGGAATGCCATTCCAGTCAATTTTCCATTCAAAGATGGGAGGACTTTCCCAACAACCTTCACACAGGAAAGAAAAACTGAGTATAATCAAAAAGTTATCTGTAAACAATATAATATCAATTTATGGTAAAGAGCCAAATGCACCCCACATATAGAGTATCAAATGTTCACCTTGGCAGCTCCAGTGTTGCTAGGAATGATGTTAAATGAAGCAGCCCTTCACGTAAAACCCTTTGTTGGCTTCGCATAACTTGAGAAACCTCTCGGCAAAGCGTAGATGAACCTAAGCATCAAAATGATGAGTTCAACATCTCAACACAACATAAAATCGAAGTTATTATCACCAAAACGATTGGAACAACAAAAACATGGGAAATCGCTCGATGGTACTGGTCGGAGTCCTTGTGAAGGCCGCGCAATGAGAATTCGTAGTCAACGACGGTGGAAGCGACCTGCGAGATCGAAGAGATAAGTGAAATTGAACTGTGAGAAGAGCTGAGCGAGGAAAAATAGAATAGAAAATGGAAAGAATTGGCACTGCTGAGACGACACGAGCGGTTGTGGGTGGCGTCGTCGGTGGCACTGGTGGCGGCTGATTGACCAAATTGGGGCACTTCCCCAAATTATTTACGTAAATGGGACTGTTTTTAAACAATGTACACCTTTGGGGCACTTTTTAACGGTGTCGCTATGGGCCATAGCGACACCAATGACACGTGAAATTTTTTAAGTTCAGGAAAGCCATGAAAGTCATATTTACAGTGTCGCTACAGCCCATAGCGCCACTTATTTAAATATTAAAATACATAAATTTTAAAATAAATATATATAAAAATAAAGAAATTACAAAGAAGATAAATAAAAAAATATAATTTTATATTACATTCATAATATAAATTAAAACTTAAACAAAAGAAATAAGTTAATAATTTAAAAAAAAAAACGTAAAAAATAGTGGCGCTATGACCTATAGAGACACAATGTCGTTATAGGCCATAGCGTCACTTTTATAAATATTTAAATAGATAAAAAAGAAAAAAAAATGTATAAAATAATTTACTAGAAATAAATAAATTTTTGTAAAATAATTTACTGGAATGTTGAGTATATAATAATTTTTAACAGATATATTTTATTTAAGAATTGTGTATAGTGTATAATAAAAAATGAAAAAAAAAAATTTCTAGGAACATAATTTATTTATATAAATGGAAATAATAAAAAATACAAAAAAAATGAATTACAAAATAATTTTTAGAAAAAAAAAACTAGTACAATAAATCTGGAGAGAAAAAAAGACCCAATAACCCAAAAAAACGAAAATTTTGAAGAAAAAAAAAGGCTGGTGTCGCTATGGGATATAGCAACACAATGTCGCTATGGCCCATAGCGACACCAGCCTTTTTTTTTCTTTCAAAATTTTTGTTTTTTTTTTCTACCTAAAGTTGCTATGGGTTATAGCGACAAAAAGTCGCTATGGCCATAGCGACATCAACTTTTTTTTTTCTTTTAGTTTTTCATTTTTTTCTACCTTAGTTTTTTTTTTCAAAATTTTTGTTTTTTTTTTGTTATTGGATCATTTTTTTCTCCAGATTTATTCTACCAGTTTTTTTTTAATTTATTTTGTAATTCATTTTTTTTGTGTTTTTCTACATTTTTTCCCTTCACTTCTTTTTGACCCAGTTTTTTTTATAAATTTACATATAAAAAAATTATTAATACACTTAAACAATAAATTTTCTCTAAACTACATAATTAATTATTTTTAATTAAATTTATTAACAAATTACTGAATATATATTTTTAATTATATTAAACAAAATACTGAAAATATAAATTTAATTAAATTTGTTTATTTCTGTACTTATTTAATTAAAAATATAAAAATTAAGTTTTTAAAATGAAATGTTAATATTTAAAAAATAAATAATATACAAAAATGGTGTCGCTGCCCATAACGACACCAGTTTTAATTTTTTTTCATTTTTTTTAGTTACGTATTTTTGGCCTAGTATTTTTAAATTAACATATAAGAAAATTATTAATATACTTAAAAAATAAAAAAGAAATAAAATTACCTGAACCATAAATATATAAAATACAATTTATATTAAACAGTTTTAAATTTATATAAAATATTTATAAAAAATAAAAGTAAAACAAGAATGGTGTCGCTGCCCATAGCGACACCAGTTTTAATTTTTTTTTAATTATGTATTTTTGGCCTACTATTTTTTAAATTATTTAATTTGTGTGCTTTTATTTAAAAATATAAAAACGAAAATTTTAAAATAAAACGTGATTATTTGTAAAAAAAAAATTATACAAAATGGTTGGCGCTATGGCCCATAGCGACACCAAGTCGCTATGGCCCATAGCGTCTCTCTTAAGAAATTCATATAATTTAATTTAAAATTATATTTTTAAATAACTTAATTTTATTTTTATAAATATATAATAAATATTTCAGTTTATTATTTTTATTTTACATTTCTATTATTTTCATTATTTTTGTTTTTTTTCTTAGGCAGTGTTGCTATGAGCTACATTGTTTTTGTTAGTCAATGAAGTGTGCTGGCTCAGCTTATAGCGACACCGGTGTGACTCATTCCAGCCAAACCTAAACAAAAAAAAAAGGCCACGTGTCATGGGTGTCGTTATGGCCCATAGCGAGACCATTGTAAACAGCCCCAAAGGTGTAATTAGTTACAAAACAACCCCATTTGCGTAATATGTTTCTAAAACAACCTCACTATGGTCAAAAAGCCCAAAATAGGATGAAAATAGTTCTCACTCCTTCTTGTTACGATAAATATTTGTTTGGTATGAGTTTACATATTTGAGTCGTTTACATATTTGAGTGAGTATTGATAATTATTATAAATAAATAAAGAAATTTCAAAAATATTTTATTAATAATTTTTATTTTTAAATTTAAATTATTCAAATATTATACATAATTTTATTAATTAATATTTTTCATAATTTAAAGATGAATTTTAATTATTAAAATACTTTATTTCTATAAATTTAAACAAATTTAATATATAGTAATATAAAAATATAAGCAAGTATCTACGAATACAAATATTATGATATTTGTACACTTTATTAACATGTATAGAAAATACTTTTATTCATTACTCGTAAATATTCATTTACAATATTTATTTTCTACTCATGATATATTCAAACATTACTTACAAGTACAAATTTATTTATCATTATCTTTAGAGTCGAGAAAATAATGATTTTATAATAATAATAATAATTTTATTTGATATTATTAAATAACATTAATTATAAAAACTATATTTATTTTAAAATAATACATAAATATAGTAATATTTGGAATTGTTTTTATTTATTATTTTAAATTCAATCATTTCTAAATATTATATATTTATTTATGTTACTAATAATAAATATAATAATAAAAATACTTCTTTTTATTATTTTAAATAAAATTATTTAAAAAATTAACTTCAGCTCCTTTTTTCTACCAAATTATTATTATTTTTACTTTATTTTTATTTATTTTTTTTTCCACTTTTTCATACTTTTTTTCTTTATCATCAATAAGGAAATGGACCAAATTTTAAATATACAGGGTAGACTTAATTTATTATCTATTATAAATTTTTTTTTATAAAGATGATTTGACTATTTAAAGTTTGACACGATTTATTAACCTATTTTGTAATTAATGTATTTAAAAGTTTATTTTGCATTAGTAATATTAAATAAATTAATAAATTTAATTGTAAATAAATTAATAATTATATTTTTAAATACATGTACAAGTCTTTATTTAATTTGTATGATAAGTATTTATTAATTTGCATGATAAAAAATAATTTACTTTATTATTATTAAAATTTAGAGTTAAAAATAAATATTTCCTATATCACATTTAAAAGTATTTTAAATAATTAATCATAAAAATGAAAAAAAAATATAGATGAAAATGTAACTATTAAGATTTTTATTTCCAATATCATAATTTCGTATAAAATATTTCAGTGTCGTATAAATTTAAAAAATATTACTATTATATCATAGATAAATAGATTGATGAATTAAATCTATAAAACTTTTTGTATAACCTCAAATCCAACTTTTTAAAATAAATTAGTTATTTAAAAATATAATCTTAACTTTTTTATTAAATAGGTTAGATCAGATCAAATATCAAATTTTAATCTGATTATACCTTAGACTCTTAAACTTGACTTATTTTCATTCTTAATTATAGATTGTACGTATATTTGAAAAAAAGGATTCGGATTATCTCTCAAAGTTGTTTCGACCTCATCCAATGTTATTTATTTAAATTATTTTAAATAATTTATGTTCATAAGCTAATTTCTTAATAACTTAATAAATAACAGTTGTAAAAAAATTAATAAAAAACATTTTATCTAATATAATATAAGATTATGTTTATTTTAAAATATATTATAAAATATATTTTAGTTAAAATTGTAGTTTTTATTTTACAGTTTAATTATATGTTAATATTAAAATTAATATATCATATTGCCAAGTTAAGTGCGTGTTTGGTTTCGATTTATAAACGTAATTTTTCTTTCTCTCTCCACGTTTACAAACAAATTTACGTGGAAGTTTTAATTTTTTTACTTCCCACAAATGTAAATTTTCACGTCTAAAAGCTGAAGCAAACACGCACTAAATTCAGCTGATCTTAACATAATCTTATATCGTACTTTTTGAGTTTTAGTTGAATTTAATGGTATCATGTTCACGCGGGTGAGTGAGATAAGTGTTAAGAACAAGAGGCATAAATTGGGAGCAAATAAACTCTCTGTATTCTCATTCATATTGCAAATGAAATATTACCGTTATTTATAGCAGAAAGCAAAAACAACATTTGCATCTTTAAATCCCACTCATAATTAACACCATTAATATTATTATAGGAATACCAAGCAAAACAAAAACTCCTAATTTAAGTTTCATAACAAATCTCCCCCTTAAAACTTAAATACTTTGCCCATCTCTCATTCCAATCAGCCTTTTACAATTCTCTAGCAGTGTAGTTGGCAGTGGCTTCGTAAATATGTCTGCAGCTTGAACTCGGCTTCCGACATGCTCCAACTCGACCTTTCCTTCTCTGATTTGTTCTCAGATGAAATGAAATCGGACGTCGATGTGCTTGCTCCTTCCGTGATTAACCGGGTTCTTTGCCAACTCGATTGCCGACTTGTTATCAACTCGGATCACAACCCCTTCATCTCGGATCACTCCCATATGCCTCAGTAAATTTGAAAGTCAAACTGCATGACATACGCTCCAAGAGGCTGCCACGTACTCGACCTCGCAGGTCGACAGAGTTACAATGGGCTGCTTCTTTGACAGCCAAGTAAAAGCCGTATTCCCGAGTAGGAATACATAACCCGAAGTACTCTTCCGATCATCAACATCTCTGCACCAATCACTATCCGAGTAACCTACTAATCGGTAGTCATCTGATTTTGAATAGAAAAGACCAAGTGATAGGCTTCCCCGAACATATCTCAGAATTCTCTTCAAGGCTTTCCAATGTGTGTAGCTTGGATCCTCCATGAATCTGCTTGTTATCCCAACACTCAACATTAAGTCGGGTCTCGTGCATGTGAGGTATCTGAGACTTCCGACTAAGCTACGATATCTCCCAGAATCAGCTCGTTCTCCTCCATCAAATTTTGAGATTTTCGTGCCTGGTTCCATTGGAGTAGAAACTGGGTTGCAATCCTCCATTTTAAACTTCTTTAGGATTTCAAGCGCATACCTTTCTTGGGATATAAAAATCCCTTCATTCGATTGCTTCACTTCTAGGCCAAGAAAATATTTCATCAGGCCTAAGTCTGTCATCTCGAACTCTTTCATCATTATCTCCTTGAACTCCTTAATCAGTTTTGCATTGCTTCCAGTGAATATGAGGTCGTCGACATAGAGAGCAACTACCATCATATCTTTTCCTGATTTCTTTATGTACAAGGCATGCTCGTACGGACATTGTTCATACCCGTTTTTCTTGAAATACCCATCAATTCTTTCATTCCAGGCACGAGGAGCTTGCTTTAACCCGTAGAGGGCTTTTCTCATTTTCAGCACCTTTTTTTCATCTCCTCTCTTCATGTACCCAAGTGGTTGCTCGACATACACCTCCTCCTTCAGTACTCCATTTAGAAAGGCCGACTTCACATCCATCTGAAGAATTTGCCATTGTTTCTGAGCAGCTAACGAGATCAGAAGTCGGATTTGTGGTCTCCACCGACTTTGTGGGTGATAGCAGGTATAAATTATGTTGACAGTTGAGAAGTTATTTAACACACATGGTAGATGGCAGTGATGATGCCCTTTTTCAGTTGTCAACATTTACTTGAATTGATTCTCGAATAATCTATTACATTTTTTTCTACATTATTCTTCCAGATCAAGCATTTTTGATGCAAAGGCTGGAATTGCATTGAGTAAGAATTTTGTGAAGCTTGTGTCGTGGTACGACAATGAGTGGGGATACAGGTAATCCACCTTAAACCTTTTCTTGTGTATATGATAGTGGTAGTGTGTCACTTAACAATTTGCAATAAGTTGTTAACTTGGCTAAATCTAATACCTGCTGTGTTCCGTGGTTCTGCAGCTCCCGCGTGATTGACCTGCTTGTTCACGTTGCCAAGAAGTCTGCATAAATAGTACCTTATTATGTTTAGTGTCTTGCTCGTGAAAAAAATGAGTCTGAATAAATCTGTTTTCCCGAACCAGTGCACTGTTAGGAGCATTAAGCTGCTCTTCTCTCTTTTCTAGCTTTTTGGCGTGGCATCTTTTGTGGAGGGGATGGAGTTTTTGTACTTTTATATACTTGCTGATGTTGTACTCGGCTTTATTGATTCTAATATTAGACACTTGCCCTCCTTTATTCAACCATGTGTCATAGTTCTCGAGTGTTTGAACCCCTCCTACTCCTTTAAATTATTAAATTCTTGGTTTATATATTTTTCTCCTCTCCTTTAAATAATTAATTTTGGATTATATATTTTCTGATCATATTTTATAATATATCTGAACTTAGGTTTAAATTTAACTATTTTTGGTTTAGTACAGAATGTTTGGATTGGGGTAACTTTGTTTAAAATTTATCTTTTGGGTGAACTTGACCACTTTATATACCAAAACTTAATGAGAAATTAAATTACATTGGTGTTTTTTTTCTATGATTAACTTTTTGAAATATGAAAGAATTTTGTTGATTTAATTGATGAATTATGGTTTTTATATTATTATCTTGAAAGCTTACGTTATAAATTTTATCAATAAACAATATATATATATATATATATATATATATAT